TGAGTCTTACTGTCCCTTGGAAACAAAATGGTCATCTAACAAATGTTTGCAAGCAATTGTGAGTCTTACTGTCCCATAGAAACAAAATGGACATATAACAAATATTTACAAGCAATTGTGAGTCTTACTGTCCTACAGAAACAAAATGGACATATAACAAATATTTACAAGCAATTTTGATTCTTACTGTCCCACAGAAACAAAATGGACATATAACAAATATTTACAAGCAATTGTGAGTGTTACTGTCCCACAGAAACAAAATGGACATATAACAAATATTTACAAGCAATTGTGAGTCCTACTGTCCCGTAGAAACAAAATGGACGTAAAACAAACATTTACAAGCAATTGTGAGTCTTACTGTCCCATAGAAACAAAATGGACATATAACAAATTTTTACAAGCAATTGTGAGTCTTACTGTCCCATAGAAACAAAATGGACGTTTAAGAAATATTTACAAGCAATTGTGAGTCTTACTGTCTCACAGAAACAAAATGGACATATAAAAAATATTTACAAGCAATTTTGAGTCTTACTGTCCCATAGAAACAAAATGGACATATAACAAATATTCACAAGCAATTGTGAGTCTTACTGTCCCATAGAAACAAAATGGACATATAAAAAATTTTTACAAGCAATTGTGAGTCTTACTGTCCCTTAGACACAAAATGGACAAATAACAAATATTTACAAGCAATTGTGAGTCTTACTGTCCCATAGAAACAAAATGGAGATATAACAAATATTTACAAGCAATTGTGAGTCTTACTGTCCCATAGAAACAAAATGGACCTATAACAAATATTTACAAGCAATTGTTAGTCGTACTGTCCCACAGAAACAAAATGGATATATAACAAATATTTACAAACAATTGTGAGCCGTACTGTCCCATAGAAACAAAATGGACATATAACAAATATTTACAAGCAATTGTGAGTCTTACTGTCCCACAGAAACAACATGGACATATAACAAAATTTTACAAGCAATTTTGAGTCTTACTGTCCCATAGAAACAAAATGGACATATAACAAATATTTATTTACAAGCAATTGTGAGTCTTACTGTCCCACAGATACAAAACGAACATATAACAAATATTTACAAGCAATTGTGAGTCTTGCTGTCCCATAGAAACAAAATGGACATATAACAAATATTTACAAGCAATTGTGAGTCTTACTGCCCCATAGAAACAAAATGGACCTATAACAAATATTTACAAGCAATTGTGAGGGTTACTGTCCTATAGAAACAAAATGGACATAAAACAAATAATTACAAGCAATTGTGAGTCTTACTGTACCGTAGAAACAAAATGGACGTTTAAGAAATATTTACAAGCAATTGAGAGTCTTACTGTCTCACAGAAACAAAATGGACATATAAAAAATATTTACAAGCAATTTTGAGTCTTACTGTCCCATAGAAACAAAATGGACATATAACAAATTTTTACAAGCAATTTTGAGTCTTACTGTCCCATAGAAACAAAATGGACATATAACAAATATTTACAAGCAATTGTGAGTCTCACTGTCCCACAGATACAAAACGGACATATAACAATTTTTTACAAGCAATTGTGAGTCTTGCTGTCCCATAGAAACAAAATGGACATATAACAAATATTTACAAGCAATTGTGAGTCTTACTGTCCCATAGAAACAAAATGGGCATATAACAAATATTTACAAGCAATTGTGAGTCTTACTGTCCCACAGAAACAACATGGACATATAACAAAATTTTACAAGCAATTTTGAGTCTTACTGTCCCATAGAAACAAAATGGACATATAACAAATATTTATTTACAAGCAATTGTGAGTCTTACTGTCCCATAGAAACAAAATGGACATATAACAAATATTTACAAGCAATTGTGAGTCTCACTGTCCCACAAATACAAAAAAGACATATAACAAATTTTTACAAGCAATTGTGAGTCTTGCTGTCCCATAGAAACAAAATGGACATATAACAAAGTTTTACAAGCAATTGTGAGTCTTGCTGTCCCATAGAAACAAAATGGGCATATAACAAATATTTACAAGCAATTTTGAGTCTCACTGTCCCACAGATACAAAACGGACATATAACAAATTTTTACAAGCAATTGTGAGTCTTGCTGTCCCATAGAAACAAAATGGACATATAACAAAAATTTACAAGCAATTGTGAGTCTTACTGTCCCACAGAAACAACATGGACATATAACAAATTTTTACAAGCAATTTTGAGTCTTAATGTCCCATAGAAACAAAATGGACATATAACAAATATTTACAAGCAATTGTGAGTCTCACTGTCCCACAGATACAAAAAGGACATATAACAAATTTTTACAAGCAATTGTGAGTCTTGCTGTCCCATAGAAACAAAATGGACATATAACAAAGTTTTACAAGCAATTGTGAGTCTTGCTGTCCCATAGAAACAAAATGGACATATAACAAATATTTACAAGCAATTGTGAGTCTTACTGTCCCATAGAAACAAAATGGGCATATAACAAATATTTACAAGCAATTGTGAGTCTTACTGTCCCGTAGAAACAAAATGGACATATAACAAATATTTACAAGCAATTGTGAGCCTTACTGTTTCACAGAAACAAAATGGACATATAAAAAATATTTACAAGCAATTGTGAGTCTTACTGTCCCACAGAAACAAAACGGACATATAACAAATATTTACAAACTATTGTGAGTTTTACTGTCCCATAGAAACAAACTGGACATATAACAAATATTTACAAGCAACTGTGAGTCTTACTGTTTCACAGAAACAAAATGGACATATAAAAAATATTTACAAAAAGCCTCGCAATTAAAATGCTGTGATAACCTCATGTTTTTGAGGTTATGACTGGTCAGAAAAAGATCATAAAAGGTGTTTTTTTTGCGCAATTTTGGGTATTTTGAAAAAGCTTGAAAACCTTTGAATGTTATATAATTTTGAAGCGTTGGTGATTGAAATTTCTAGGAGAAAAGTAAAACCATTCTCTAAATTTTGAGAAAAACTGGCCTGAAAATTATTGCACTTGCTCAGTTGAATTTAGCAGAGAGCCGCTGAAATTTAGAAAAAATTGGACGTTTGTGTTCATGCAAAATACTAATAGTTAATTCTTCTTTTTTTAAGAATCATAATTTCTTTATTTGATGTTTCTTTTTAATTTCTCAAGCCATATTTTAGCATTATTAACTGTGGCTTAGACGCTAGACATAATTTTTAACTGTTGATTTCAATGATCAAATGAAAAAAACTGGCTCTTATTTGGTGTCACAGAAAGTATTTAAGATAAAAAAATAAAATAAAGACATTCCAGAAAAAACTACTTGAAAAGAGATGCTTCAAGCTTTTATTTAGGAAAATTAGAAAAAACGGCAAAAAAAAGTATTTCATTTGTTTTTAAAATCAAAAAACTTGCAACTTCTATGTACCGTGACTTCAAGACTTTGTGTGCTATTTGCCTGGCAACCAGCTTTTCTTGTTTTATCCAATTTTGTTGATCTCTTTCATTAAGAGAAAAAAAATGGACAGAAACTTTGTAAAGATGCTTTAATCTTTACCACGGTACTGAAGCACAAAGCTGAAAAATCAAGTCATGTTCCGAAACAACTTTCTTCATAGGTAGTCAGTGTTGTTTTTCCGACCGCCTTGTTGTTTTCGCCTTGTTGTTTTCTTCATAGGCACTGGTTGTTGTTTTCGTTGTTGTTTTTTTTTCATCACAAAAAACAAGGAATTTTGTTGCTTTTTTCATTTAGAGCAAAAAAATGGACAGAAACTTTGTAAAAAGCAACAAAGACCTTGTTTTTTTGCGATTAAAGAAAAAGAACAACGGAAACAATTACGAGTACCTATGAAGAAAACAACAAGGTGGTCGGAAAAACAACAACGAGTACCTATGAAAAAGTTGTTCCGGAGCATGATTTGATTTTTCAGCTTTGTGTTTCAAAACCGTGGTAAACTTTAAAGCAAAACAAGTTAGTTATAAGAAAAGCTAATTGCTGTGCAAGTAGCTTAGAATGCGTTGAACACAATGACTTGAGAAAACAATTTAAATGAACAAAAAACTGAAACAAAACCAAAAAAGTTTTTTTTTTGAGTTTTTTTTGTTCTTAGTGTTTTACTTTAAAAAAGACGATTGAATCAAGTTTTAAAAAAGTAATAATGAATGGTTGTGCTGTTGGAATTAAAATTAACATTGCTGCCATAATTCAAACGGCATAATTCCCAATTGGCATAAAAATTAAAATTGTCCCAAATGGCATAAATTTTATGCAACAGTTGCATTGAAAAAATCGAGAACAACTTTTTCGTGAACAATGTGAGAAAATTAGTCAAATTGTCATTTCAAATGTTGATTGACATTTTATCTTGAAAAAGTTGTAGTTTTTTTATCAAAGCAAAAAGAATAAGCTTGCAATTATTAATAAGCTTGTTGTGGTCAACTTTTTCGACAAATTTGTTGCGTAAAATAGTTTGGAAGCAATTAATTCCAAATCTTGTTCACATGCTTTCATTCCTGACAAAATGTTAGAATTAGAAATTGATAGAAAACGTTTAAATTACAATGAAAACTTGAAATTTATGCCATTTGGGAAAAGTTTCCATTTTTATGTCATTTGGGAATTATGCCATTCGGGAAGTTACCTTTACTTCTGCTTACTTTGTAAAGTGGTCGGAACTATTAGAACAAAGTATCTCTTACCTAAATTTTTGATTCAAAGATAATCCTATTGATTACCATTTACCGTCAATTTTTAGGACTTCCAACAAAATTGCCAGTAACGAAAAGTCTTTTGGCGTAACAACATTTTTGTTTGCAAAAAAGCACTTGTTCACGTCATTGAAATTTAAAGCTTTTGCAAAGGTAATACTTCAATCTCCTGTGAATAATCTGCTTATATAAGTCGTATCATTCAAGGTGAAAGGAAATTAAACATTTACTGAGAAAATTTAATTAAAATGTTGTAATTACTTTTTTTGGGCGTATCAATTTTCTCTCCGGTGTTCTTGTTTCGTTTCAACTCGGGCTCAGGGCGAGAAGACGAGATGATGAAAGATCCATCCGAAACTAGGTCAACAAAGTTTTCAAATCGTTCAGCTGGTATTTTCATTTTCCTGTCAAAATCTGATGGTGGAATTTGGTCCGCTGAAAATGTGTCCAAAAACTCGGTTCTTCTAAACCCTGTTGACGAATGTTGTCTTGGGTGTGTTTTTTCAAATTTTGCCAAGAAGTCGAAAAGAGTTTGCTCATTCTTCACAAGTTTTTCCAGTTTTTGTCTGAACTTGTCAGTTTGAGGTGGTTGATTGTTAACATTTAAGGAAAATGATTCGGCGAGGTAAGCTAAAACAGCGGTCAGTAAAACTCGCCTGGCGATCATTTTGGCACTTGTGAAAAGAAGAGAAAGAAAGAAGCAATTTCGTTTTGGATTATTGGGTTAACAATGTAAATTAGGTTCTTTTTTTTAGTCCCCGTTGGTGAATTGGTAATCACCACCTGATTAAAAAACGGAGGTGGGAAATTAGTCTAGGATTATCACATCACCGCATAAATGTCACGTCACTTTTTTAACACGCCACATTTTTGATGTCATACAGATTCAAAAGACTAAATATGAAACATTCAACTCGAAAACACATCGAACCCTTTAAGTAGTGAGTTTGGTGTGAGCCAAAAAGAATACAAATTGACCGTTTATACGCTTAAATAAAATTTAATCAGAATCGATCATAATTGTTCGAATGTCAGAATGCCGGATGCTAGAAGGATTTGAAAATTCGAGTTTTTTCCACGCAAAATAATAGTCCATGAAGTGCGGGAGCCGAGTAAAATACTGCACTGAAACCCTTGTAGTCGTTATTTGAAGTGCAATAAGAAAGCAGAATTTTTTTCAGTGTCGAGAACTGTTGGTCTGAATGTTTCCATTTTTAAGACTCTTACAGATTTTTTTCAGTCACTATTTATGAACTGAAATTAAAAAAAAATTTTTTGATCCACTTTTTTAAGTAAAACATATCTAACGTCCCATCCCCATCTAAGAAAACCATAAAATCGATTAAAAACTTTCCATGTAACAATCAGAATAATCAAATAGTTTGTTCCGAAATGTCTTTCAAAACAAATGACGCTCGAACATTGTTTTTTGTTACTGGTAGACCACCCAGCCCCTCAAAAAGTAAGGAACACATTTAGCCGTGATTACTCGTGAGACTAACGTGTGGTGTCATATTGAAGTCTTTTCAGTCGTTTATCAGATACCAAAAGATGTTTTTACAAAATGATTCCAGAGTCTACAAAGATTGGTGTGAATACGTCTGGTTTTCGGCTAATTCAGCGCATAGCGAAGAAAGAGTTCTCTAAAAGGCCGGAAATTACGTCAGTAAGGAAGCAGTTTTAGATTTCCAAATTAATTAACTAGGTTATGAAGAAACTTTTGAAAATGATCACTTGAATTGAAACTAATTTTTATTGCAAATGTTTATTTCTAATGATCATTTTATAATGGTGCCATTAACATATTGTTAAAGTGCGATCCAGTAATACGTTTAAACTTTTCAAAAATATTCTATCAATATTTTACAATTTCATTGTCCTATTCTTTTTTGAACCTAATATCCAGCTGAGTCGCAGGAAAGTGTCGATTAATTTTAACGGTTTAGATAAAAAACAGTTTCCGATTGATTCAGTCCTGCACACCAATGGTTTTGTACTTTTTCAGATACAAAAATTTGAGAATCAACGGGCGGTTTATTCTAGAACAAAATAGCAAAAGCTGGGAAGCTGCTTTGAACTCCAAGGATTTTAGCAAATACGCTTACAGCAACCAATTTGTTAGCTTCTTTCTGCACTACACTTGACTGCCCAAGAAGTCTGCTGAAGTGGGGTTGGGTATAAGACTCCACGAATCAAAACACTTTTGTCAAAAAAGTTGAGCGCTGCCAAACCAGTCAATGGCCAATGTTTAGCTTGCATGATCATGAAAGATTTTGTTTATCCTGCAAGAGTCTTGCAAATTATCTTTATCTTGCAAGATTCCTGCAAGATAACCATTGAAGCATTTAAGGATTAAACGTCAAATTGGTTCTTTTAAAAATTGTAACTCTAAGCTGAAAAAAACGATGCTCCGAGGCTCCAACACCCAATTTTAAAGACATACCTCAAAAACCAAGTCTGGTGAATAGCTTTGTTTTGAAGAAAAACTTACCTAATGTGGCTTCAAGTACATAGAAAAATCTTTATCAAGAGTATTTCATTTGGTAATTAAAAAACAGCTCAACATCCTCGTTTTGGAGCAGCAATAAAAACTGTGGAATCCGCAAAAAAGTTTGTGGAATCCGGAACAGTTTGTGGAATTCATGAACAAATGATAATAAATGTGTTTAGTAAAACTAAGCTGTCGTGAAATCCGCAACTGTTTGGAAGCGCTCTTACTTTTTGGTAAAGTTTAAAAATCTTGTCTCTGGAATCCAGGAACATACAGACAAAAAATTGAGCGCCTATTCTCGTAATGTAAGAATATGATCGGATCATTCATTGTTAGTGGCTCAGAAACCGGCTATCATTGTTTCTTATTCAGTCTGATATATATATTTTTTTCCCTTTTCTGTATAAAGCAATCAGCGAATGGAAATTGTTATGGTTTTCTTCGATTCTGATTGTTGAATTTTGTCATTCAGTGCCTCCATCATGCGATTAGCCACCCATTGAGTTGAGCTCCATAAATTAAAGACCGAGGTAGATTTAAATCTAGTATGAGCAAAATGAGTTACTTCTCATTCAGTGGAATACTGCAACTTTGTAGAAATGTTGTTAGATGAATAAAAGGTCATGTTCAAATAAAACTGGTTTGAATACTGGACTCCACAGACTGGAGATAGTAGTATTGTATCGTGTCCCGGATCCTAAGGGGGGGGGGGTCCTCACGTAAAGCAAAATCCTAGGAAAGGGGTCCTTAATTTTTTGGAGGAACATCATCCTAGGATTTTGTAAACGAAAGAAATTTTCCACCCAAAAAGCAGAAGACCCCCTACTTAGGATCTTGCTAAACTTAGCTTAACAAAAAGGGACACGATACAAAATTCTTTCTAATTCCAATTTTTGGGCTCCTAATTATTGGTCCTGGTTAATTATATGAATCATTTTAATTGTTATATTTGTTTCGGGCAAAAGAACTTCCGACCTAGTTGAAGTTGGTTAGTGAATGTGGAATTGACTTTTATGGTACAAAATGAAAAATCGCCGGCAATTTTGGCAGCGTAGCTTAACTGTTGGCAGCAGTAAACTAATTCCGTAACTTGACCTATATTTTATTGTGAAAAGGCAGTAAATTGAAATTAATTCTCCAAAGGCGGCGGCCGTTTCTGGAAAGAATCTGCCAAATGATAAATTCGTCAAATTTTGAAATGAGAAAAACGAAATTAGAAGGAACTTGCTGTTTTTCAGACATTGATAATTAATTTATACAATTTAGAGGGTTTTCAGCCATACAAAAATTCGAAGTTCCAAACCGGGCAGGAACAGTATGCTGTTTCTCTAGAGGGGAATGGAAGTTTCAATGGGGAAAGGACGAGTGGAAAAAGGAAAAGGGGAAAGAAATATGAAAAATGCACCGAGCTTTTTGCCAAAACATAGTGCATTTCTACAAAACAAATGTGTTTCCGGTAGTTCATCTGGTTATTTACCACCGGAAACTAGACAAGTCTAAGAGTTTCTACTAGGTATCTTTTATCTCCTCTGGCTGACCTTTAGCAGCTTAGAGAGACGTTGGAAAAACCATTAAAATTGGATAAAACCGAGCTACTCCAACTGATTCAGAAATACTTCAAGAAAAGAATACGTTCTTAAAACAGACTTATTATGACTGTTCTAACCGAAGAACCGTTTTCTAGCTTTTTCTCATTCTTTGTTAGATCTAATAACTTTATTTGCTTGTTTCAATTAGGTTGAGACCTTATGGCGGCTTAATTGGTATGAAAAACTGTTCTTTGGAAAAGTACTTGAACGACTCCAAGTTTTTATGATTGCACGCTTTTTCACGACGATGCAGCCGAATTTAAACATGAACTTATGAGGAGTGTCCAACGTACTGTTATATGATTCCCGAGAACTATAACCACAGCTTTCTGGGCCATTTGAGTGGAATAGATTTCTGTCTTTTCAATAACTTGAAACAGCCGAAAGTCGATCATTGAATTTTTTATCTGCACAATGTTCAATGCTATGCAGTTAACTTTTGAACACTGGCAGTCTGTAGCTCTGTCATGTGCACACCACCATATGTCTGCAAACCATCGATCTCGAAAAAACTTATTTCCCCTCTGCCAGAATCATAATTTGAATTTTGAGTCCCAAATTAACTGGAAATTTGAGAACTTTTTAGCCGTCTCTTTTTAATTAATGGCCTTGAGAACGGTTTCACGATTTGGTAGCGTTAAATTGAGCCGTTCAGTAGTTCAAGGAATACTTGCTAACTTTCTCACTTAGTTTACTTACTCTACCTAACTTTTAAATTTTACTTTATGTTTACTTTTGATTCAACTTCTTTTCACTCTGCGTTTTTTCCTTTTACTTGGTTACTGTCATGCTTTGATTAATTTTACTTTACTTAACTTTACTTTACATTACTTAACTTGAATACACCTAATTTCATACTTATTAAAACTTAAAAAATAACTTATCAACACACTTTTTACTGAAGTACTAACATACATACCTTTTGCATAGATGCATACAAACATACACACATAATTGTACACATAGAGACAGACAAAACAACAAGCATATATTGCCTAAATTTACTTCTTTTACTTATATCGCTTATTTTTTTAACGTGATTTGACTTTACTCAACACCAGCTAATTAACTTTACTTTGATGTTTTCACTGCAATTTGGGTTCTCTCTTTACTTTACTTTACTTTACTTTGCCTTACTTCATCTTACTTTCTTTTACTATACCAACTCGCCTACTTACTTACTCACTTACTTACTAACTTACTTACTTACTTACTTATTTACTTACTTACTTAATTACTTACTTACTTACTTACTTACTTACTTACTTACTTACTTACTTACTTACTTACTTACTTACTTACTTACTTACTTACTTACTTACTTACTTACTTACTTACTTACTTACTTACTTACTTACTTACTGACTTACTTACTTACTTACTTACCTACTTACTTACTTACTTACTTACTTACTTACTTACTTACCTACTTACTTTTTACATACTTACTTACTTACTTACTTACTTACTTACTTACTTACTTACTTACTTACTTACTTACTTACTTACTTACTTACTTACTTACTTACTTACTTACTTACTTACTTACTTACTTACTTACTTACTTACTTACTTACTTACTTACTTACTTACTTACTTACTTACTTACTTACTTACTTACTCACTTACTTACTTACTTACTTAATTACTTACTTACTTACTTACTTACTTACTTACTTACTTACTTACTTACTTACTTA